TTTGTAGTGCAATTTCATCCCAAATTGTAATAGAAGAAAGTAGAGCATGCTCGGTTGATGGGTTTATAGTGTTCTTTGATGGATAGGAACAATCTCACCCTTGAGGCAGATGTATCAATTAAAATAGATGTTGTTTTGCACTGCCCCAAGAACTCAGGACTTGAGAGCAGAGCAGGGACTTGTGTAAATACATGCATCATCTTGATGTTCTTGCTTGCTTTGATCCCTCCATTAGCTAGTGTGGGGCATGTGGAGATGGAGGATGCCTAAATTAGGCAGGATAACTTCCCTTGTTAGATAGACTCTCTTCCTCTCTTTTTGGATGTTGACTATTCTCTTAGTATTCTCCCTACATAATCTTGAGTTTTTAGGATATGAATCCATAAACCCAATACTTGTCACAATAAATCATGCAAAATTTCCAAAATGGTGTTACATTTTGTGATTTGGATAATTTTGATTATTGCTTGAGCCTATCTGATTAAGGTGATTCTTGATTTTAAGTTTTATGAATTCTATAAACCAAATACTTGAGCGAGGATTTTATACGAATAAATTAAAAAAGATCTTCCTACACATTTTATGAAATTATATTACTATCGTCCATCCTTGCATGTACTTGAGTTCTTTGGTGAACTTTCACAGTACCTATAATATCATAGTGCATATAGTCCCTAGCATATTCCTTAAACTCTAATGAAACTTTTAATGGATACAATAATTGTGAACTTTTGGGTATTAGTCCCATACATTCTTAGCTTTTGATAAATTAACTTCTTCAATAATCAATAATAGTTTACAAGTCATATTTGAAATTAGCTCTACTAACTTCTTTTATTATGATTTATTCAATATTTCTTCTGTCATGGACTTTGTTTTGGACAATCATTAAGTTTTGATGTATGCTTGAAAAAAGTATCCAATTTGTTTTCCAAATTAGTTGCCTAGGGAAAACATTTGAGTGGAATGTGATACTTGGGTAACTATAATTTCAATCATCCAACAATCAATATTGAAGAAAGACTAGTTATTGAGTATCTATATGCCAATTTGATTTTGGACTAGCATTTGATAATTCACTTTATATATATATATGTGTGTGTGTGTGTGTCTGTATGTATATATACATATACATGTATATATATATATATGTATATACATATACATATGTATATACATAGACATATACATATACATATACATATACGTACATACATATATATATATATATATATACACACACATATATATAAACTTGGTGTTATGCTGCCACTCTTTATTGTCATCTTTATGGTGCAACTAAATTAGAAGAGTACTCTTCATCTTGTTACTGTTTCTTGCTCATGATCTAATTGTTACTGGAGATCTAAACTCACTTGCATTTGTCCTTGTAGAGCAAGTCAACAAGGAAATCACAAATCAACGTGATCTGTGTATAAACAGTGTTAAGTTGCAACTGAAGTTGACTCAATGGGTAATATTGTTAGTTCATTAGTATCAGGCTTTGTTAAAGTTGTTGGCGATCTATTTGGAGCCCCAGTAGATTTTCTTTCTGGCAAATCATGCAGGTATTGAGAATGATAGCCACTCAGCAGTCTATCATGTCATTTTTTTCAGTTACAGAGACATTTAAACTTAACTGCTATTTTTTCTGCTAATTTTGACAGAATATTCTTATGACCCATTGCTTGTTAAATAATACATTGATTCACAGACAAGATCACTGATAAATCTCTCATGGCAAATGCAATTTACGGGAAAAAAATCGTTGAATAAGAAACATTCATAACTGGATACTTGTTTTTCTCGAGTCAAAGCAAAGTAACATCGCAGAAACATAGACAAATAGGTGTTGAAGAAGTTCCTATCAAATGTGGATAAAATATGGAGGAGGTCTGTTTTTCCTTCTGAGCTGCTTTCTATTTTGAGCTATGAAGAACAGAACTATGCTTGTTTTAGATAGTTCAAGTAATTTGATTTTGTTTGTTTTCTGGAAAAAAAAGAGTTCCTATACAACGACTAGATATTTGGATTTGTGTAGTTTTCTTAGTTGGAGCAGGAAGTAATTGTGTTCTGTTTCTCCACATCTTTTATTCCTATGCTAAATTTAGTTGTTTTTTGCTCTGATTCCAGAAATGCATTGACCAAGCATTAGGATTTGATCCTTATGCTAATAACAATATGTCTTTGAATATTACTAGTCTTTATTTCCATTCTTGTATCTCATTCCACAAACTTTTCATCAGTTCAGTATGTGGGTCAACATGGGATCTGATCTGTTACATTGAAAACTTCTGCATTGCTAATCTCCTGAGGCTGCTTGCTGTGGTGGCTCTCCTTTATGTGGGTAGGTATCTTCATACTCTTGAAATCATCTATTACAATCAAACGAGTCATTTTTGTCATCACTTATCTATCTTCAAAACAGTGCTGCTATTCTTGTACCTTCTACACAAGATTGGTTTCTGCCAGTGCATCGGCAGGGGCGCATGCAAGATGCTGCGGGCATGTTTCATGTCATGCTTCTCGACCTGCGAGTACGCATGCATGTTCGTGTGGTTTAAGCTGAAGAATGTGAAGCAGATGAAGGAAGAGCGTTTGAAGAGGATGGAACAAGATTATGGCTCGACTTCGAGTGATGATGACTTGGAGGAGAGTGTATTGTATGCTCGCACACTGAGATCTCTTTCGCAAAGGTCAAGAGAACGGAGAAGGATGCACTTGGAAAGGTCCCTAAGGCCGAGGAGTCACCGAGTAAGAGTTGGGATCAGCAAACACTCCATATACATAAATGAGAAGGACCCAAGGAAGTGTCATGGACATGGGAGCATACTCCAGAAAATTAAGGTGACTCACACATCAAAGTTTGCTCAGAAAGGCAATGGCAGGCGCATTCGCAAATGAGGTTTTCGGAATGAGATCTCTCGTTCAAGGTTTGAGTTGCAGTGATGAGAGAATGGGATGGCATTTTGACCCATGCATCTTCGAAGTTGTGAATTTGCACATAGAGCTAGAAAACTGTGTAAAGATTTGTACTCCCAAGTAATGGTAGAAGTTCAACTTGGATGTGATGTTAGTAATGATGGAAGTTTTCACCTGAAGGAAGGTTTGAAATAGTCCTCTCCTATTTATTGCTTTAGAGCATAGTAGAAGCTCAAAGGATCCTAGTTTTTGTGATGTGTTCAATATTTTTTTTTTATGACAATAGTTGATTTAATGAGTCAATGTGTTGACTATCTCAGGTTGAGTCTATGGATCTGTTTCCTTGGTTGAGCTTTTCAAAAGATTACATTGTAGTTTTAGGACATCAGGGACATAATGCAATCCTTTAATTTTTTTTCTATTTGATTTCTTTGAACACTTGTAGCTTCTTTATCGCCCGATCCAGAACAGTGCAGACCTAGTATTAGCAAATGTTTTTTCATGCCTTTTTCAAAATTCAGGATGATCTGAATTATCTGAACCTTACTTAAAACCCTAGGCACTTAGACAGCACCAGGGACTTCACCATTGAATCAGACAGTCTATGAACAGCATGGAAAACTTATGGTTGATGAAAACCAAGAAAAGAAGTGTAAAGGTTAGCTCCTGCTTTCTTTTTCTCAGGAGTGGGAGAGGTGGAAACATTTATGATTTGAACAGCAACATGAGTGAAAAGTCGATGCAAACTCCCATGGAGATGACATTATCGTCGTATTGACAGCACTCAGTAACAAATCGATTCTACGACGTGCACATTGCATTAAAACCCTTACTATGATAGGGTTGAAAGTTTGAAACACAAAATTGAGTATGTATCACTAGGCAATATGAAAAACTATCTAGCCTGAATGCATAACAACCACATTTCTATTATACCTCAACGCACGCCGTCTGGATCTACGGCGCAGTTGTATACACAAATCATATCCCGCACAACTTTGGCATCATCTTTGCCACCAGGATATTGAACCATCTTTTGATGTCAACCAAAAACTGTGGCTCCTTTAGACGATGCAATACCGACATTATCACTAATGTCTGTGTCTTATTGCCAAACAGCAATCAAGCGATGATGAAAGCCTGGTCCATTGTCAAAGAATATAGGTCGCAGGATCATGTGGACCGAACGTTCCGAGTCCGAGAGGCCCATATTGCAAAAGCAAGAAACCAAAATACAAATGAGATTGTCCAGTAGCGTGCTGCTCCATACTTGAATCTTGTTCGAAAAACCTGCAATTGAGAAGGAAAACAGCAAAAAAAAAAAAAAAAAAAACTCAGTTCATGCATTATGGTCTCACTTCTGCATACAAAAAATGAAAAATAAAATCTAACTAATTTCCCTAAAAACGCTTTAGCTGTTAAAATAAACAACAAGTTCAAGTGGCATGAGGATACAGGCTGGCCACCAGGGTTTGTGTGATGCACATTACTAATGTGCCATCACAATCGTGAAAAAAATCATTAACCCAATAATAAGATAAATAAGAGGCAGTAATAAAAGAGAAAAATAATGAAATACCTACTTCAACCTTCCTAAGCCTCCAACCTTCATTGAAACTGTGCTCCTATAGTCCTATTTATACTTCTATGATTGATGAAATTTGTATCACTTAGGTGTTTTTACTTTGGTTGTGAGTTTTATTAATCTTCCTCTTAGTCCATTTCACTTCTTTCTTCTTCATCCCATCATCGATTAGGGATGATTCAATATAGGCAGAAGCTGAATAGCAGTAATCCAAAGTGAGGACGATATTGAGAACCCAGAAGCAACAAGAAAATTTTATAAATAAATATTATTGTACAAACATTGTAGCAATATCATAGCAAATTTAACATGTTTTTCACATAACACATAAGAGTATTCTAATTCCTAAACTACATTATAATCCTAGTAAAGGAGGTGTGGTCAGCATGCCTCTACCTTTTAGGGCCTAGTTGGATGATTCTCTTTTTTTATTGCAGTGAAAGTTTATTTTGTAGTCTAATATTCAGCAGGTCTGGGAGGCCTTTTCTCCTCCTCGATTTAGAGAAATGCTTGGTAGAGTTGTCACTTATAACAGAAACAATCATAAACCCACTTCTTATTCCGAATTTAAAGATCAACCTTTTGATGTTATAGCCTAACAGCTCAAACTAGACTCAATCTAATAGCATAAGCTAATCAAAGAATTTCGTTCGTAACAATCCATCATTTGTTTGTTATTTCATCAACATATGTACTGAGGTGTAAGTGCAGAAAAATATAAAATACATAGTGCCTTTCAAGGAATGCTGTTTCAGTTACCTAATCCATTTCGGCAATTTGTCAGACTGGTATATACCGATCAGTACTGGTGTAACGATACATGGTACACCGGTATATACCAGTGTTTTGGGGAGGAAGAAAAAGAGGGGGCAAGGAATGAGCAGTGGAGGAACAAAGTAGGAAGGAGGAGGAAGGAAGAAGAGCAAGCAATGGAGGAGGAAAAAGGAAGAAGAAGTGGTAGAAGAGGAGAAGGAAGAAGAAGAGGAGGAGGAGGAGGAGAAGAAGTACATGTGTAGTTGGGAAGAAGAAGGAACACAGTGGCAATGGCATTGGTAGCGACAATGGCAGCAGTGTCGTGAAGCAACGGTAATGGCAACGGCAGCGGCAATGGCGAAGTACGATGACGATAGCAACAAAGCAGCGATAGTGGCAACGGCATTAAACGTGAGAAGAACGCTTCAGGAGCCCTGATAGTGATTTTTTTATTATTTTTTCTAGACTGGGTCGCCTGAAACAGGGGTGCTCCGCATACCAGCCCACATTTGGACCGATATGCATCGCCTATTTCATACCATTTTAGGCAGCGCAGCAATACTTGGTACCTTTATCACTCTTTGTGGTTATATATATGAAATGCCTGATAAATGTTAAACCAACTCTACAGTTTTAATGAAAAAAATAGTACATAACTTTGTAAACCATAAAACATGGAGTAGCATTCTACTTACAAATCTAAGAAAGATCACAACCACCAAAGCACATACACCTCCAAGAAGAATATTAAAACCATATCTAGCAGCTTTCTGCATTACAAAACCAAACTTGTTAGCTGAAGTGTCATGACACATTAGCAAAGTAAACAAGAGAAGCACATGCAATTTGGCTTCTCAGAGGAATAAATGACATAACTACAAAACTATTGGAATAATAGGACCACAAAGAGACAGGAAATGAAGATGAATTGGTAATATAGAGGATCCCTTAATAAATACCAGAGAAGAAAAGCACAATTTAATTGCCATCTAGTCTCTTAGTGATCAATGAATAAAAAGTCATGCCCATGTAATCATTAAAGGTGTAGAAACATCATAATATACGAATAGGATATACCTTTCCAACATGTGAAGCAATAAACCATGTGAGAATAACAGTGACCAGTCCAACGGCAACTAAAATCCCTGTACCTTCCAAAGCCCATTTGGCCGTTTGAGTCTCCATATTCACAACATTTTCTGTTGGATTATATGGAAATTCTTCTAAAGCTTCCTGGGAGACTGTTACCAAATTACTATGAGGACTGAACCACAATGATATTTCACTCAGTCTTTGTCTTCGGATAGCAGCAACAGCATCAGGATCGACACCTGAATTCATCCCCACATGTGAATATGAAAATTCTCCGGTTGCTGTCCTATTCCTTAATTCTTCGTAATCCTTCAAAGATGCCATAACCTTTCTGAAATCTGTCACCCTTACATTCTTAGCCACACTTCCACAAATCTCACACACGGTAGAACCATGGCTTACAAACCACTTCAGAGCACAAGCATAATGTGCCTGAGCAAGATCATTTTTGCAAGAACATCCTAGATCAATTAGTGTGTCTTGATTAAAGTATGAACCTGATTCTACATCAGCACTGCAAACAAATATCTCGCCTTCAGGACCTACGAACTCAATAAATTCCTTCTGCTCCTGGGATGTCTTATTATTGTTGACCTCCTTTAGAGTACACTCTCTGGGAAGTTTATCACTGGAGTCTCCATCAACATTGCTTTCCAGATATTCTTGTGACGGAGGAACAATATTTAAAAAACTCAAGGCAGCATCACCCCTTCTGTCACATTCAGAACAATGGCAAACACGGCAAAGTACAATATCAACATCCTTATCTGTACTATCATCCGATGTCCGTGGCATATCGAAGTTGTCGTTCTTAATGGAAGTGCATGAACTCCTTTCATTTTTGTCACTGTCATGTGGCTGCATCATTTCTTCCCTCAGGCTCAAGGCAAGTTACTCGTTTCCTCTAAGCAAATGATGTCAAAATTGCTGTACGACCCAAATGAAACTTCTTGTTCGAACCTAAACGATCATGATTCAAAAAAAAATTATAATGGTTCAAATTGAGACCAATTTTACCAACCAAAATTCCATGGGCTCCATAACAACAAGGACCTGGAATGCAAGCATATAAAATTCCAAATGGATAAAATTTAATATCAATGAGCACCTGCTCCCCGAGGCCAAAACGGAACCAGAAACCAAATAGATGTTGAATTGTGATCATTTCCTGATACAACAAACATGCAGGAGAGTCCATACCAACGTACCACCGAAGTATAAGACCCAAAAATTAGATCTTCCGCAACCAATATTACTAAAGAACGCAAGTAGATACAGATACTGTCGAAAAAATAGACTAAAAATCAACAATTACATCTTGTGCAACCAATATTACTTATGAACGCAAGTAAACATAGATACCGTGGGCAAAACGGACTAAATATCAACCAAAAACACCTGTTCTTTAGGGATCACTCCCGACCTAAGCTTCGAATAAAGAGCGCACACTTGAGAGGAACCGTTCCAACCCAACAAACAATCAAGTCCGCCCACTAAAACCATCCATAAATCTTCATAATTTTCTATGGTCTGGCAATTTGCAAAACAGACGAAAAATAGCGGGATTCCAAAGAGATGGTCGAAACATCTTCTAATTACGGACGATAAGCAAACGAATACGGGAAGCAAAATATCGGAATTAAGGCAGGGCAGATAGGGGTAGACTCACCTGACATCGCCGTCGAAAGATTTCGCCACCGAAATCTGACTTCGTTCCCCAACGAATAATAGAGCGCAAAGGGGGGTAAATGTCACTCTGTTCTTTGACACGATCGACTGATCGAAGTGCTCCAATACAACACTCTACGGTCGCGACTTTGTTACGAATCAAGTTACGATTTGTGACGTGGCGAACATCCGGGGAGCGAGGAGGGCGTGTGGTCATCTAGATGTCCGCCGCGTGGACCAGAGTCACAACTTATGCCGCGTTCGACAAGAATCTGTGTAAGCTGCGAACGTCCGCATACATATCACTGTGCGGGAGATGATCTGCCCTGCACGCAAAGAGACAGTGGTAGGGACGCAATTGTATTGAAACAGAGGATTACTTAGATGAGGACGGCATTCGAATAACGTGACTATCGAACAGCTCTGTTCATCCAATTGGTTGTTCCCTCAGCTCTGTTCATGGATACATATTGAACAGCTTCACAGTGCTTGTTTCATCACTCAACCACAGGTCATCTTCCAGAACACCAAACGAACAGAGACGCAGTTTCTACATCATCCTCCCCCTGTAAAGCTGAGTCAGTGCCGCTGAGCTGAAACCAGTCCAGTGATGTCTCTAGTATTTGAAGCTTTGCCGTCCCCTGTTACTCTCCTCACTGTCGTCGGGAACTGAAACTAGTGCGTTAATGGCTTCATCCCCAAAGTCTATGATTGGACTTCCATCTTTAACCTCGAGACTTATCCAATATCACACCATTAACTCATGCGGAAGAAACGGGAAGATGAAACAGCAGCACAACTGATGCAGATCCGTTCATGGCGCTATCAGGTACAGAGCACTCCGTAGCCACACTCATTCTTATCAGCTTTTGAATTGTCTAACCATAGTGTCCTCAACCTTTTTCTGCTCCTTTCTAATCATAGATGGCACAAAGTCCCAACCAAGATCAGGATGCTTACAACTTTCACCAGACTTTCCCATCACAGTGCCAGCAAAAAGAAGATGCAACTCCTGCAGCAAGTCACAGAGCCTTTCTGCCAATCATAACATGCTCTCCCAGATCGATCCAGTCTTCACAAAACAGGGAAAGATCAAGCTGAGATTTATACAGATCGAAGTGTTATGCAATGCTCCTCTCATTGAACAGCATGAAAGAATGGTTGGTGCCAATCTAGTTTTGCCGGAGGAGATAGGGGGCAACTTCGTCATTTTGGACCGCACGTGATTCGCGGAAGCCGCGTGCTTGTCCGCTGTAGGCCCTAAATGCGCTTGCATCTCGTGTTTCCGGGATTTTACTTAGCTAAAGCTGTTCCCATGATCAAATACAAACTGTTCCCTGAGGATGGCGCTGAGGTCAGCAGACTGGTTTCTTACATCTTCCCGAAAAAAGTGTGCCCGCGGTAGCATCTAAGGACCCGCCGCCACGGGAAACGGGGTTTCCGCGTCTCCGTTCCGTTTCCTCATCACAGGAATGGCGTCTCGGTAATAAACAGTCAAAAAAGGAAAAGACTAGTGAATGGGTTTGGCTACACTTCACTCGCCTCCGTCACGTGTATAAACTAATGAGGAGATGCGTATGCACTCCTTCGGCGAGCGAGCGATCGATCGTGCCCTCTCGATGCCGATCGATGGGAGGACGACGACGAAACCCTCGGCTCGCTCAGTGGTAACGCATCGATCGTCTCGTGTTTGGATCTACGGATCGACCCATCCTGACACGAATTCCTTTTGCTTACCTTGCCATTTTCTTCATGTTTTTTCTTCCTTGATTTCCTTCCCCGTATTTGTTTCGTGATGCGCTTTTGTCCCTTTTGTTCTTTTTTGAAGGTTTTGATTATTCGTCGTTTTTTTGCATTGCTCTTCAGTTTGATCATTAGGATTTGTTTCGTCAATCCTCAAGAACTGGCCGTAATCGAGTAGATTGGGCGTTATCTACCGTCAATTGACCTCTGGAGAGCTATAGATCTTATTCCTCCTGCTGGATTCCAGGTAATGTTATCTAATGTTCTTGGGAATTGCCGCTTTTGTTATTATTGTCGATATAGGCACTCCATCTAATTTTGTTCAGATAAGTCGAGTCCATAGTGGGCAGGCTGCAAAGTATTCCATTTTGTTCATTTTAGTTGTTTAGTTGAGCTGCAAGATGTGATATTTGGGTTTGTAAAGAAAGCAAATGGAAGATTGGGTCATTCTCTGAGTACTTGTTTTTTTTTCCTCTTAATAATTCAGACAAACCACTCCAGGAATTTAGGTGGCAAGCATGGCATTTGGGAGAAACATGCAGACGAATAACAGGAGATCATCCTCGTACTGCTTGAAGACGACAATTCTCGTGTTTGTTGCCCTTTGCTTCGTTGGAATATGGATGTTGTCTTCCTTGAATATTGTCCCTGTAGATCTTTCTTATCTGGTTCCCAAATCTGAGTTCAAAGATAAATTTTCTATGCCATTTGGAGATAAGTTAGGGAGTGATAATGATGGTTTAGCAAGTGGGGATGCCAAAAATACTGAGAACACTGTTAGATATAAATCAGAGTCTGAATCGGACAAGACAATTGAGAAGTTAGTGGAGAAATCCAAAAAGGGTAGCCTGGCAAAGGGGAATGATGATCTGGATGATACATTTGATGACACATCACGATCTGTTGATGGCGAAGATGCCATGACGGAAGAGAAACTAAAAGAAAGTGAAAATGAAGTAGAAAGACTGGAAAGTGAAAAGAAAGCAGAGCAAAATGAGAAATCTGATGGTGATGGATCCCAAAAAGAAAAGAGCGAGGTTTTCCCTTCTGGGGATCAGTCAGAGCTTTTAAAGGAGACCAACGGCCAGAATGGAGCATGGTCTACACAAGCTGTAGAGTCAAAGAACGAGGAAGAGGTGCAAGCTTCAGCGTCATCAAAGGGCCAGAAAGTAAGTTACAGCTGGAAACTCTGTAATACCACTGCCAGAGCAGATTACATCCCCTGTCTTGACAATGTGGCAGCTATTAAGAAGCTCCGCAGTACTAAGCACTATGAACACAGAGAGAGGCACTGCCCTGAACAGGCCCCAACCTGCCTCGTTCCCCTTCCTGTTGGATATAAACAACCAATCGAGTGGTCAAGGAGCAGGGACAAGGTAACAACTGTGCCGTCAGATGTTGCATTCTATTGTGCCTAATATTTTCCTAAAGAATCTTTTTTCATTTGTCTTACTTTATGACTATACTACAGGTATGGTATAACAATGTTCCACACACCAAGCTTGTAGAATATAAAGGGCACCAAAATTGGGTGAAAGTATCAGGAGAGCATCTCATTTTTCCAGGAGGTGGAACTCAGTTCAAGCATGGTGCACTTCACTACATCGATTTTGTTCAGGAGGTTCAATACTAACCATGTTTTATGATTTAGCCTAGTACAAAGTCCCTCATGTGATGTCTGTTTTCCATCTTTGCTATGTTTCCAAATGTGTCACTTTTAATCCCATCTTGGATGTCTTGCAGGCCTACTTCTCTTGTATTTGTCATCTACCATGTTTTTTTTTAGTTTTCTATCCTTCCTTGAATTTGTTTAAATTCTCAATTGTTTTGCTATTGTTTCCTTTACTTAATTGTCAGTCTTCTCGTATGTTTCTTTTGATTTTGATGAATTCCATGACTGTTTGAGTATAATTTGACTTATCATCTATGGAAGCCTGCAGTAGAGACATACTAGCATGCTCAGTTTCTATAATGTTGTCTTTTCACATTCTTTTCTTTGGGAATCCGTACTGAAGAGTATAGTTGTTGATAACTATTTTGAAGACTGATGCATCTTTTGTCTATACATTCACAGTCACTGCCAGATATAGCATGGGGAAAACGAAGCCGTGTTATTTTGGATGTTGGTTGTGGAGTGGCTAGCTTTGGTGGCTATCTCTTTGAAAGAGATGTGCTTACCATGTCATTTGCACCAAAAGATGAGCACGAGGCCCAAGTGCAGTTTGCTCTTGAGAGAGGAATCCCAGCTATATTAGCAGTCATGGGTACAAAAAGACTTCCATTCCCCAGCAAGGTCTTTGATGTTGTACACTGTGCACGCTGTAGGGTACCATGGCACATTGAAGGTGATATGTGTTAATCTTTAACGATCTATGTTCCATGGAATTTTTTTTGGATATTTATTGTCAATACTTGTAGGTGGTATGCTTTTGTTGGAGTTGAACCGATTGCTCCGTCCTGGTGGTTATTTTGTCTGGTCGGCAACCCCAGTTTACCAAAAGCTTCCTGAAGATGTGGGGATCTGGCAAGGTACAACCCGCAACAATGATTGGTCATAAAAGTTATGGCTATGATTTATTGCTAGTGAAGAAGTAGATTTAAGGAACCAAATGCCTGAAAATTTCAGGTTAATTAGAATACATAACATGTTGCCAACTTCTCTTTGTGCTCTTTTTTTTTTCATCAAAGATATCATGTCAATTAAAATTAATATTCTTGTTCATGCTTATATTTACTTTTTTTTCAGTTGAGAATAGGTTCTAATTTGTTTATAGGAAACTACAGAATGGTGAACATATCTGAGGCTAAAATGTCGTCCCTAATGGTTTAGCATGAACTTTTACGTGATTGTTGTCCCTAATAATCATATTCTAGTATTACAAGCTGGTTCCTTTTTTCTGGTTGATGAGATATATTCTAGGCCCCCAGTCACCATAATTCCTTAATTTTCAAGTCATTGTCCACATATATTAGCATTGTCGAACCATATAGACCTCAAATGGACTTTCATACTGTGGGCTTCAGATAAGCATCATCTATATGTAACCTAACCATCATTAATCAAACTGTTAAATGTCTAAGTGTAATACATGGGATATGTATTCTTCTAGGAATCTGATCACCAGATCAAATATTAGGAAGTGAAATATAGTGTCATTTTAATGCTGCTCCTTAGCAATCTTGGTGACTGGGGTTCAAGCATGCGTGTCTTTGCTTACAGTGATAAAACTGTCTATATTGACCCTCTTCAGAACCTTGTATTTGCAGGAGCTTCATGAATTGACCTCCTTTGTTTTAGCACTAGGTCAAATATCTTTATACAATACTAACTAGTTTCCTTTATGACTGATGCCAGCCATGTCTGAACTGACAAGATCTATTTGCTGGGAGATGGTGGCTAAAAGAAAAGATAAAGTAAACAATGTTGGTCTAGCAATCTATAGAAAACCTTCTGATAATAGTTGTTATGACAAAAGAACGAAAGAAAACCCTCCACTCTGTCAAGAACTTGACGATCCTGATGCAGCCTGGTATGCTTTGTTCTTTCAAAAATTAGACATGGTTCTTCACTTCTTCTTTGTTTAGTTTGCTTCATTGTTACTTGAAATGTGTCTAATATTAGTGGTATCTGTTAATATTTATATAGGAATGTCCCACTACAAGCATGCATGCACAGGTTGCCAGTATATTCCAGTAGTCGTGGGGTGCAGTGGCCAGATGAATGGCCACTAAGACTGGAGAAAACGCCTTACTGGTTTAATAGTTCCCAAATTGGAGTTTATGGTAAACCTGCACCACAAGACTTCGCAGCAGACTATGAACATTGGAAACATGTGGTTAGCAGATCATATTTGAATGGGATGGGGATTAACTGGTCTGCCGTGAGGAATGTCATGGACATGAGATCTATTTATGGAGGGTAAGTTGTCATTCTTTTCCGGTTACCGGTTCTCAGTCAAAAGGAATTTAAATTTTTATGAATCACTGTATGCCACCTCATGAGTTGCAAATTAACCAGATGGTACCTCTGACTTGGTTTTGGTGTTTGACATTGTCTCAGAAATTGCATCATTTAATTGCCATGGTATATGTGATCACTTCTGCTTAACCTCGACATTTTCTTTGTCAACATGTCTTTGTATTCTCTTCTGGATTCAAGTATTTCTCTAAGTGAATGACCTATTTCTCCACATGGTTTTGTGTTCTTCGAGAGGTCTATGCATTTTCCTGCAAACTTTTTGCTGTTTTCCATATTCATCTTATTGGACATTATGGAACACTGTTGTGCTTATCTAATGATTCCTGTAGCATCGAGCAAAATATTTTTATTCGCAATAACTTCGTTACATTTTTGAAACAATAGCACAAGGTTGCGATGGAATTTTCTAGTACTGAATTATCTCAAATCATCTTTCTGTTGGTATATTCTTTTCTTATTTATTTGGAGCAAATCACTTTGATGCTTGCTCCTTGTGTTTAGTCTTGGGGTGTTGTTTGCAGTTTTGCTGCAGCTTTGCGAGACATGAAGGTCTGGGTAATGAATATTGTCTCAATCGATGCACCTGACACTCTTCCAATTATCTATGAGCGTGGACTATTTGGAATGTATCATGACTGGTGTGAATCATTTAGCACCTACCCAAGAACATATGATCTTCTCCATGCAGACCATCTATTCTCTAAACTCAAAAAGAGGTTAGTCTGTAATAAAACATTTTCAATTACTTAAAATCTTACTATATTTATTCAATCACTTAAAATCTTACTATATTTATTAGTAGCATACTAATCCTTTAATAATTTTAGAGTCCGAATAGTTCTTGAACTTTTGCAATTTATTGTTCACATGAATTAAGTATTTCTTTCCTGAAAACAGTTCTTATGCCAAACCTTATAGTGACTCAAAAGCTACAGAAATGTCTTTTTATTTATTAAGTAGATAAGAAACATTTCTTTTACACAGATCTTTTACACTTAAAGACTGATGATACTATTGCATCTGTTATGTTAAGATTTGCACAGATATTTCCTTTTCTAAGTTGCCGTTTGATCTACTATGGCTGTCATAGATTTTCATGCAAGGATGGTTCAATTGTGTTTTCTTCTCGATATTACACTGGAGCCTTGTGTTTTTCATTCTAGGTGCCAACTAATGCCAGTAATTGTTGAGGTAGATCGGATACTGAGACCTGGAGGGAACTTTATTGTAAGAGACAATGTTGGTACAATTTCTGAGATAGAAAACCTTGCAAAATCACTTCACTGGGAAATCCGTCTGACATACTCAAAAGACAATGAAGGATTGCTCTATGCTCAGAAGTCAATGTGGCGGCCAACCGATGTCGAAACAACCACCTTGTAAACAAGAGATACATTGACAAAGTCCAGCAGTTTTGATATAATGGTGTATAATTTCGTTGCATGCATAACCATGCTTGTCCTTTGAAAAAATAATGTATTCTTTGATCGATGAAAATTTCGTACATTTTTTTTATCGTAAAAGATCAGATTTTGCTAGAGCTTAGTCTAGATGTTGTGATAGTCTGACTTGTAAGGTTGGATTCAGGAACTTGCTAGCTAGCTAGCACCTCGAGAAAACCTAAGTAATCAAAGATGAATGAATGGCAAGATTGTCTTGACCTCGGTTGTATTTCATATTTGATGATGTCTCTTGCTCTGAGAAATTCTGTGATGTTGCATTTTCTCTGCATCCCATATTACTTGGAAAGCTTTGTAATGATAAGGTGGCCACTAAAATTTCAAACAAGGTCTAAAATTATGATCTAATTTTGCGGCTTAGCGCATGTAGTGCAAAGAAAGAAGGGTATGTATCAATAGTAAGATTGTTTCTTTTTGGCTTGAGAAATCTCAAAATAATCTCTTTATATTTATATCTAAGGTTGTGTATATTCATTTTTTGTTGAATCGATAAATATCGGATGATTTCATATCACAATTAGCTAAAATCTTGATTATAGATGTTATTGTAACATAGAATGAAGGAAAATAATTTATGCCACCCGGGAATATATAATAATTTATATCTTATTTGTAACCTTAAAATGAATATTTTTATTGTTAAGATGTATGTATGGCATAAAATAGAATATTACGTTAAATTCGCATTTATACGAGTCCGGATCGAACCAAACTTTTGGCTCAGACACTCGAAACGGTTCGGTTTGCTTTCAAAGAGGGGTCGATGCCGTTGGCCGCCTCTTTCCCTCCATCTCCAAGTTCATAACGCAAACCCCCGCTTTGCGCCCCCCTCGCCATTCTCTGAGGTTATTCCTCGAACACCCTTCGGTCGACCGCTCTGCCGCCTTCTCCGTCGCAATCTCGACATATGCTTCAAGAACAGGGAACTCCCACAGGCCCTCCGCCTCTACGACGCCACCCGCGCCGTTTTCACTCTGCTCTTCCTCGACCATTTTAACGTCCTCCCCTGCCTCTGCTCCTCCGCGGATGCCATCGGCCTCGAGCGCGGCACCAAGATCTACCTTCATATGAGCCTCAACGGCGTCAAGGAAGACTCGCCTTTGATCTCGTCAAGAAGGTGTCTTCAACCGAGATCCCGCTAAAATTGAGGTCTTTCGGCCCCGCTCTGTTCGAATTCTGCAAGAAGGGAGAGGTCGGGAAGGCCCATGAGGTGAGGCTTACGTAGCTGCCCATGGCATTGAGCCCGAGGAAGCCGAGCTCGCTGCACTCTGTCAGCTCAATGTTCAAAAGGGCGGGGGAGATCATGTTTACCGCCTGCTCTTCAGGTGTCCGAGTCAATGGCGGAAATAATAGAAAGTTGGTTTGGTACAAAGGCCGTGGAGGAGGTTGGGTTGGAGAAACGAGAAGTGTGGAAGGTGGAGGAAGGGATGGTGAAGGGAAGATGGATGAGACTAGTGTGTTCAGGGGTTGCTCTCAAGGGCGTCTTCCCAGAGAGGTCAAGACCTAGAGAGTTGGTATGGTACAGAGGCCGCGAAGGAGGTTGGATTGGAGAAACGAGATGCGTGGAAGGTGGAGGGAACATGGATGAGACTAGTGTGTGCCAGTGTTGCTTTCAAGGCCATCTTCCCGGAGAGGTCAAGACCTAGAGAGTTGGTATGGTACAGAGGCCGCGAAGGCGGTTGGATTGGAGAAATGAGATGTGTGGAAGGTGGA